TTTCATGTCTCATTTGACCCTCAATTAAATCATGACGTCATCATAATGGCCTCCGAACTCAAAATTTCAATATGCACATTATGACGTTAGCATATTTGTGGAAAACTGATTGTATCTCTGTAAATATTGATCGATTTTGTTTCAAATTTTGATATGTTCTAGCTGAGACAATTTTCTACAAATGCAGTGCCCACAATTTTTCATTTTGACAAAGGCATCATGGCGTAATCTTGCAATTAAAGGAGGCCTGTCAATTTTTTACATTTTGCGTGTATTCTCTATAGGACATGACTTTTTCTCAAAAGTGGATTCTACATTTTTGTCTTTCGCGAGCAATATCTCCCTTGTTTTCGCTTTGTTTACGCTGAGATTCGAGTATGTTGTAGCTGAGACAAAAAGCTATCTCAAATGTGTCCTTTATTTTTCGATCAGATGTTGGGATCATGGTGATATTTTAACTACAAAATGTGATTTGAGAATCCCATTTTTCGTTTACGTGTAATCGCTATGGGAAATGTTTTGGTATATCGCTAACGCACTTGACTTTCGACCTTGAGATCCCTGGTTCGAGTCCGGGCGTCTACAACAATTTTTTTCTTTCCTTTTTTTTTTCTTTTTGACCTTTCACTGTACCGTCTCCTTTAATTATTAAAACACGCAGAATCGCAAATAATGTAATAAAAAAACCCTATTTACTTTATTATTACCCTATTTACACTTAATCTATTACTTTTTGGGTGTAATCCCTATGGGAGATGACTTTTTTCTCAAATCTGGATTCTACATTTCTGTCTTTTTGAGCGATATCGCCGTTATTTCTCCTTGGATTTTGTTGATTTTTGAGCATGTTGTAGCTGAGACAAGTTTCCCACAAGATTTATGTAGACTATTAAACATTATCACGACGTAATCATAGTCAAAAATTCAATCATAGATGACATGTCAGTTATCAATCCTCAATCGAATACCTGAAGGGGGCGCTATACCACTTTTAATCATGGCATCTTCATCATCATCAATATCGTCATTATCGTATGCATGAACATTATCATTATATCACAACGGTAGTTTCGGCACACTGTCACGATCGTAATTTAAGAGCCTAGCTATTTATGCTAGAAATATTGAAGGCATTTTTCTCAATTGCATCTCTCCCCTCTCTCTCTTTTCTCTCTTGCTCTGTCTCTCTTCACCTAGTCTTGTTCTGCCCCTCTCCTTCTCTTGGTCTCTCTCATCTGCATCTCTCTTGTCTTCTCCTTCTCTCTTACACTTTCACCCTCTCCCTCTCACTGTTTCCATTTTCCTCTTTCTCTCTTGCTATGTCTCCTTCTGTCTCTGTCTCTCTCTCATTCTCTACTCTCTCCCCTTTCTCACTCTGCATCATCTCAGCTTGTGTCATTTATATGTATAACAATTTAATCCAAGGAAATTCGAGGCAATTTTTATCGTTTGGCCATTCACTGCCATGCATACTAACAATCGTTTCTAGATTTAACATCATAGATGTTGGATTATGGATGAGTACAATATGAATATCTTACTCATATTTTATATGTAATCAGGACTAAATAAATCACTATGTACATTTTGTAATATTTATTTTAAAAAAGTGTTTTGAGCTTGTTTAGTATAAGTATACAGTTTAATCCTCTATCGAAAGTCTGAAGGGGGCACTTTGCCACTAATCATGTTCATCATTGTAATATCGTCATCAACGTATTCATGAACATAATCGTTGTTTTGATTATCGGCAACAGTTTCATGATCAGTATTCACAAGAGCTTATGTGTGCTAGAAAAATGGAAGGCATTGTTCTCAATTGCATCTCTCCCTCTCTCTTGCTCTGTTTCCTTTCTCCCCTCATGTTCTGCCCCTCTCCCTTTTTTGGTCTGTCTCTGCATTTATCTCTCTCTCTGTCTCTCTCTACTCTTTCACCCTCTCCCTCTCTCTCTCTCTTGCCTCGCTTCCCTCTTATTCTCTTACTCTGTCTCTGTATCTCTCTTTCTCTACTCTCCCCCTTTTCCGCCTCTGTTGTTCTGCCCGCTCTCGTTCTCTTGCTCTGTCTCTATATCTCTCTTTCTCTACTTTCCCGCTTCTGGCTTTTATTCTGCCTCTTATTATGTCTTGGATGCTCTTGAATTTTCTCTAGCACTCCCCTTTGCCCCTTGTATTCTTATTTCACACCTACCACGTTTCCTCACTGTCCTCTCTCTCTCTAAGTGCATGCATTCAGATCCCTCTTTTTATATCTCTGTCCAGCTCATTTATTTTTTACAGGACTATACCCTGTCTCCCTCCTTGTCTATATATATCTACTGCCATCTTTTTCTCTCTCTCTTTATCTTTTCGTTAACACCATAGACCCTTATAAAAAACAGACACACCACCTCATTCGCAAAGTGACAAATTTAAAACTCGTTTTCTATAGTTTCAGACAATTATCATTTGTAACTGTTTTGATTGAAGTTATAGGAATACAAACACGTTTCATATAGTGGGTAAACAGTTACATATGTGTATGGTCTTTAATTCCATAAGGACTGATGCCATCTACTGACTTCATGACACTTATGTTTGTGAATTATGTTCATGATTTTTTGTTTGTAATTTCATTAGTTTAGTCGGTACGAGAAACATCACTATCACCATCATGCCACCTTTTTTTCTCGATGACAGCACCTATAAGCCTCTTGCCTTTTGTAATTGAGCTGTCTCTTTATTTATGCATTGTTATTTCCTGATCTCCTCTATAAATTGTGTCAATATACTCTTTAAAAAAATAAATGAATGGAATAAATGTCAAATTGAATTCAACCATCATCACCACAATTATCATAGCCGTTATCACCACCATCATAACTATCATCATCATTAGCATCATCATTAGCAACTTTATTTTTACCAAGTCCATCATCATCATCAATTTTATACACCATCACAACCGCCACTACTATCACAATAATACAAGGACAATCAGTATAAACATTATTTATGCAATCAGGCCATTTTTTTATTTATTATATCAATTGAGATATTTTGAAAACTCATATCTATTTAAACACAAACACAAGTCACTAAATGAATTCATATTGTAGATAGCCACGACTTTATGTGAAGATAAAATTGAAGAAAAACAAAACAGAATTGATGTAATTCAATAGAAAAATTCTGCAATATGTATATAAGTGAATGCAATATAAAACATGATATATTTGGCATTTCTGAAATGCTTTGGTGTTTGAAATACTTTGAGAGTGGAATAAAGTAGGTTTGATATACGATAGTCAGGATTTAAACCCCACAACATCGCTTATAAGCATATCTAAAGCGAAATAAAGTCAAAAATACTTCCAAAAATACTTCCAAACATTACTCCCTCTCAACAAAACGACCTAAACATAGCCATATTTTTCAGTTGGCATTAAAGTCTAAGCCGTCACCAATTAGTTTGAAGAAGAAAAAAATTGACAAATGATCAGTTCTGTCGTTAAAAAAAATGTTACAAAAACAGCATTTCTAGACTGAATTTCAGAGAGAAAGGCTAGTAAGTGTTTTTAGAGACTTTGGTGGTAAGCGCTTTATAAACACTGTTTTTTAATATTATTATTCACGGGGAGAGAATATTCTTAGAGTAATCCCAGAGTAGTAACATAACATTATTAACAAATTGTTAACCTCCTCCATGTATCGGCATTCCACTATGTCTTACATCAACATGAAACTATGCAATTAAGAATCTACCATTAAGCGTACACACTATTTACAGACATTTATAGCACAATTAATATATCATGGTTAGAAAGACTTCCTTCAATGAACATTGTATAATGGCCACAAGATTTTTCCCTTTTGAAAAATCTAATTACCGGCCATTTGAATTCATGTTTTGCATAGAAATATATATATTCTCCTCGCATGTACATCCCAATATTTCAATTCTCATAACTTACCATTGGGATTACACAATGGATCTTTCTAGCAAAGGCATGAATGCAATAAGCTTAGATTAGATTTAAATGAGCTTGTGAGCAGTGTTGTGTTTATTGAAGGATAGGAATTTCATCTTGCTTCGATGTCAACGAACCATGCCGAGGCGCGGTATGATGTAACAAAGCAACCCAGATAGAGAGATGACGACGAGCATAATCGCCATGCAGCAGGCATTGTAACTGAAATAGACCGAAAGGAATTTATAAGTTATTTCAACTTTGAATGAAAACTTGGTTGACAACTTAACATCATGAGACTAGCCACCAGTCATTTCAATGGCATGGGTTAGAATCTCACAGCTGCCACCGTGTAATTGTGTGTTGTTTGGCTTTATTACTAAAACACATGAACTTCGTATTGACAGTGCAGCATGGTTGTATTTGATCATGTAAGGTCAATATATAACATGTATGAGATCACATATCACAGATATTACAGTGGCTTTCACCTTTTAATACTTTGGTCCTATCAACCAATAAGAGACCAAAAAGAGACTAAACAAGAAATTACATTAACTCCAATGGCCAAGAATTGGTTGGTGTGATCGAGGTATTACAGAGGCATATGTGAATGACTGACTCTGATCGATGTCTCATCAAATTACATTCCTACTAAACCACAGCTCAAACCCACAATCTTTACATCTTAAGTTAAAGGTTTAAGCACTGTACTACAACAATCTCTCAAAGGTCTCATTACTGTGTATTCCTCTGGTAGTCTTTTGTCAGGGTTCCCAAACTTTATAAAAATAAAACTTTCCAATTTAAAAAAAAAAGATGAATGGTTTCAAAATTCCGAAATCCAATGGATACAATCTTTGGACACGAGACGAAAAAATAAGAGACCGCTTTTTTTTAAAGGCTTATGAAATTTGCTGATGAATCCCAGATTTTAGCAACTTTTTTTCTTCATATTCCCTTATTTGCAGGACAGCTGGTATCCCGTTCATAGAACGGTTTCCCTATAATCTTGATGACTATCTTCATAGAACAGCTAGTATGGTGGCTTACCCATCTCACAGAGCACACCAGCGTATCCAATAGGGCATTCACAGGTGGCTGAGGATGTGGCATCGTCTAGGAGACACATACCGCCATTCTGGCAGGGGCAGATGTCTGTATAAAAAAAAATAGACAACATCAGTGTAAAACATTCAAATAAAAGATAACAAAATATAAATATTTTGCTTATGAAAAATAGGTGTATGAGAGCCAAATCAAGTAAAAGAGTTCCAAAGCTGATATAATTTATTCAATGGCATGCAAACTTATTGAATGATAATTTTTGCTGATGCCACACCAGGTTGTCAAGACCTTCAATGAAAGAGCAACTAAATGTACCAAGTTGTTCTCAATGAAAAGTAACATAACTGTTATAAGATACTGAAATCAACGCATTTGATTGGCTGAGATCAAATTTGTCATAGAATTTTAGCATTAATTATTGATAAGAGGTTTTATAAAACAAAGCCCAAGTCTGATGGATGGACGCCAAAGTTAGAAAGAGGACAGATTCAGAAGAACAGAATGTTCTTACCGCTAAGGTCGAGCATCTCAGCTTCTCTCCTCCTCCTGCTGTTGTTGATACACAGGTATCAGGATGGGATGTAGAAGCACTGTTCGCTGGGAGCACATGGGTTGCGGGAACAAGGGTTGGCACCAACTCAGTTGTGAACTGAAAATACACACAAACACAAGACAATGATTATAACAATAATGATAATAATACAGTGAAACCTGTATATAAAGACCGCTCAAGGGAGACATTAAATGTCTTTAAAGGCTGGTGGTCTTTATGAACAGGTTTCAATGAGAAACAATATTCAAGGGAAACAAAATATGTGGCCTTTCTATACAGGTGGTCGCTAAACAGGTTTGACTGTAATAATGTCTGTCTCTCACATAGCGCGTGACCATTAACTGACCAAAGCGCAATACAGTATTATTATTACCCAGGTCACTGGATTCAATTATTATATTCCACATTACAGTGCACATTCTCTGCTCCCTGGGGTGCATTCCAGCTAGTCACTTTCTAATAGATGCCCACACATGCTTATCTTACCAGGTATTTATTAAACACCCGTACGGGGAGGAAAGTAGATAAAGTGCTATTGTTCAATAACATAAACAGATGTGTTTTATGCAAATTGATAGCAACTCGATACCAATTTCAATTTCAGTTTATTCTTATGCAATTGATTGGAGTTGTGATTTATCGATCAAAATTTTTATGAGACAAGTTATAATATGCCCCTCAGAGCTTGGGTCAAACCGGACATGAAGGGAAACAATACCGGTAGTTTGGATGTTAATTTATGTTCACAGCTGCCTAATACTTGGTAAACCTATAACAGGGCTTCACAACAATTTTTCTAGAAGGGGGTCAGAATTTCGGGGGTGCAGACTCAGATTTTGAGTGCCCATGTGTCGCGGTGCCTGTTGGTGTCAAGCCCTAGCTTTAAAACACTTCCGACATGCCAAAGAGTTACTTAAGGAAGTGCAGAACTTCCTGACAAATCAACACTAACTGACCTAAGACTGAAACAGAGAACTGACAAGTGTCCATGTTGCAAGAGCTGTCCGTAGCAGTGAAGGTCACAGTGGTCACGCCACCGGGGAACAGGGTTTCCGAGCTGAAGTCACTTGTGATCGACATGACGTCATCAGAGTTATCAGTAGCAGTCAGTGCTGACCACGTAGCTACAGCGCCTTGGGCGTTTTGAGAGGCGAACACGGTTTGGTCTGAAGGGCAGTTTGACAAGACTGGGGCTGTGTTGTCTAAGGAAAATCAACAAGTTTATTAGAATAATATTAAGAGCGTATTTTCAACACTTTAGTTAAGATCTTCGCTCACACATGCTATTTTGCACAAAACGATAAGTCCAAAATGAAAATCAAAGACAATTTATTTCGGTTATATTCTAGTGTTAGGTTTCATTGGTCCAGAGTTGAAGTTTAGAATTATGATAAGGTAGCTTAGCGAATTGTAGGGGTAGAAAAGACGCAACTGGAACGCAAAATGACTTCAGTTCCTTGCTCACTCTGTTCTATTGGTTTGTTTGTTACCCTTTGTCTTCATAGTCATACTACTTTATTATGTAAAATCAGGGAATAATTTTCCTCAAATTTTTTGATTAGCAATTTCAGCCGATGGATAAATATTTCAAATGAAATTCTGTACATTTCTATGGAAGAAAACTGCTACACAAAAGATATTTTGTATAGCAGTCATGCAAAAATGCATAGCAAATTGCGATGCGATACCAGGAAAATTATTCCCTGAAAATACCTTGAAAGTTTTGTTCTGCTGATCTTATATATTCCAGTGATAGCCAAGATTTTTTTTCTTCAGGCGATTGGTACATTTTAACACGTGTATGTATCCGAGTTTTCTAAAACATCAACATTTTTGCTTCTATCTTTACTCCCTTGTGAGCTAACAACCATCCTCCATTGAAAAGATTACCGAAGGGGACGGTCCCGTCGATGTTGCTTGGCCAGTTGAGGAAGGATGGTCGGGTGCCATCCGTTCGAGCAGCTTTCAAAGTTGCCGCTTGGGTCTGTGGCGGTGTACACCATGTTAGTGTATTCTATGACAAAGAAAGATCCAGAGCTCTGTGGGGCCGCAACGCTGGCTACACCAATGGTCTCGGTCCAGCTGACGGTAGTTGGGCTGCTACCGAAGGGGACGGTACCAGTGATGTTGCTTGGCCAGTTGAGGAAGAATGGTCGGGTGCCATCCGTTCCTGGATAAATCGTTCCTTGATGAATCATAATGAAGCAAGAATATCTCTTTTAATGGCATATCGCCTTTTCACTTTTCCCCTGATCTGTACTGAGCATAGGTCTTAATTAGGACATTCAAAGAGAAGACTGATAAAAAAATTCCTATGGTACCATTTTAGTCTGTATCCTCTATATTTGTCCATTTGCAACTCCTACCAATAACACTGCATGGCTCTGTCTTTCTAATGATCTATACCTATGCTTACTTACATATTTTTGGCATGTTAGTGTATTCCACGACAAAGAAAGATCCAGAGCTCTGCGGGGCCGCAACGCTGGCTACACCAATGGGCTCAGTCCAGCTGACGGTAGTTGGGCTGCTACCGAAGGGGACGGTCCCGTTGATGTTGCTTGGCCAGTTGAGGAAGGATGGTCGGGTGCCATCCGTTCCTGGATAAATCGTTCCTTGATTAATCATAATAAAGCAAGAATATCTCTTTAAATGGCATATCGCCTTTACACTTTTCCCCTGATCTGTACTGAGCATAGGTCTTAATTAGGACATTCAAAGAGAAGACTGATAAGAAAAATTCCTATGGTACCATTTTAGTCAGTACCCTCTATATTTGTCCCTTTGCAACTCCTACCAATAACACTGCATGGCTCTGTCTTTCTAATGATCTATACCTATGCTAACTTACATATTTTTGGCATACAGAGATGAGTTGCAATATATTTTACAGGCAGATTAATAGCCTCTTGCTAAACATGTTATGGAGTAGAATTTACTACTGCGAGTGCTCCTAAATTCATATAAGCACGGCCCAGATTTTATTATTGCAGTCTGTGCATTTAATAGAAGCCTACGTACCAAGATTGACAACGATATTAAAGGAACATTATCCAACGTTGCTGAGGAAATCGGTCTCGGTGTAAGTGACGGTGGGAAAAGAGGAGCCGGAGTTGAAGTTGCTGGTGACCACACCTGAGCTATCAGTAAAGATGGGTTTCGGTCCAGGTGATAGTCTAGGACGCAGGGCAGTTGGAGGTGACTGGGGCTGTGTTGTCTAAGGAAAATAAACAAGTTTATTAGAATGATATTTAGAGCTTATTTTCAACACTTTAGTTACGATCTTCGCTCGTTTGTCACATATGCTATTTTGCACTTAACGATAGGTACAAAATGAAAATCAAAGACGATTCTGATTTCAGTTAGGTTCTAGTGTTAGGTTTCATTGGTCCAGAGTTGAAGTTTAGAATTAGGATAAGGTAGCTTATCGAATTGTAGGGGTAGAAAAGACGCAACTGGAACCAAAATGACTTCAGTTCCTTGCTCACTCTGTTCTATTGGTTTGTTTGTTACCCTTTATTGTCTTCATAGTCATACTCCATTATTTTGTTAAATACCTAGAAATTTTTGTTCGGCTGATCTTATATATTCAAATGATACACAAGCTTTTTTCATCTTCAGGCGATTGGTACACTTGAACACATGTATGTCTTTGAGTTTTCTAAAACATCAACATTTTTGCTTCTATCTTTACTCCCTTTCAACCACAATCTCTTCCGAACACAAGTTCCCACCTACCTGTGACGGTGACAGAGAAAGAGCAGCTTTCGAAGTTACCGCTTGGGTCTGTGGCGGTGTACACCACGTTAGTGTATCCCACGACAACGAAAGATCCAGAGCTCTGTGAGGCCGCAACGCTGGCTACACCGATGGGCTCGGTCCAGCTGACAGTAGTTGGGCTGCTACTGAAGGGGATGGTCCCGTTGATGTTGCTTGGCCAGTTGAGGAAGGATGGTCGGGTGCCATCCGTTCCTTGATAAATCGTTCCTTGATGAATCATAATGAAGCAAGAATATCTCTTTAAAGGTACTATGTCCCATTTGCAGACCAAAAAAATGAAAAAGTTAAATTCCAACTGCATTTCAAAGATAATACTAATTTAGAACTTCCCTAAAAAAGGTGGGGCCTGAAAATGTCTTCAAGTGGGAAAATAATGACTATTAGTTGTCAAATCGACTTTAGGGCTATAGAGCCCAAAAGTAATAGTCTTGATTTTCAGACAATTGTACCGAATGGTCATACGTTTTATGCTGCGCTAAGATTCAATCAGTTTAATCTTGGCCATCACAAGAAGTGGGTTATTGATGTAGACAAATGCTCATGTACCCTTTACAACTCTTTTCATGTATGTTATTACCAAAGAAGAAAAAAAGCCAGTCAGTCACTCAATAGTGTCTGACAGTGAAGTCTAGCAAGTAAACGGGTTTCCTTGCATAATTTGAATATGAGGACACTGCTAACGTTTAAATTTCACAGATAGGACATACATGACATATTCATAATTCCTGCAAAGTTCTACAGCATTTGAGGTTGGCTGCAAAAGGGACATAGTACATTTAAATGGCATATTGTCTTTACACTTTTCCCCTAATCTGTACTGAGCATAGACAAGTACTTGTATTTTGATAGCAAGATTACATTTGAATAGGGCACACATGGAACCCAAGTCGGACTTCAGTTCCTTGCTCACTCTGTTCTATTGGTTTGTTTGTTACCCTTTATTGTCTTCATAGTCATACTCCTTTATTGTGTAAAATACCTAGAAATTTTTGTTCGGCTGATCTAATATATTCCAGTGATACACAAGATTATTTTTTTCAGGCGATTGGTACACTTTAACACATGTATGTATCTGAGTTTTCTAAAACATCAACATTTTTGCATCTATCTGTACTCCCTTTCAACCACAATCTCTCCCGAACACAAGTTCCCACCTACCTGTGACAATGACAGAAAAAAAAGCAGGTTTCGGAGTTGCTGCTTGGGTCTATGGCGGTGTACACCATGTTAGTGTATCCCACGACAACGAAAGATCCAGAGCTCTGTGAGGCCGCAACGCTGGCTACACCGATGGGCTCAATCCAGCTGACGGTAGTTGGGCTGCTACCGAAGGGGACGGTCATGTCGATGTTGCTTGGCCAGTTAAGGAAGGATGGTCGGGTGCCATCCGTTCCTTGATAAATCGTTCCTTGATGAATCATAATGAAGCAAGAATATCTCTTTAAATGGCATATTGTCTTTACACTTTTCCCCTAATCTGTACTGAGCATAGACAAGTAATTGTATTTTGGTAGCAAGATTACACTTGAATAGGGCACACATGGAACCCAATTCAGACTTCAGTTCCTTGCTCACTCTGTTCTATTGGTTTGTTTGTTACCCTTTATTGTCTTCATAGTCATACTCCTTTATTGTGTAAAATACCTAGACATTTTTGTTCGGCTGATCTTATATATTCCAGTGATACACAAGATTATTTTTTTCAGGCGATTGGTACACTTTAACACATGTATGTATCTGAGTTTTCTAAAACATCAACATTTTTGCATCTATCTGTACTCCCTTTCAACCACAATCTCTCCCGAACACAAGTTCCCACCTACCTGTGACGGTGACAGAGAAAGAGCAGCTTTCGAAGTTGCCGCTTGGGTCTGTGGCGGTGTACACCACGTTAGTGTATCCCACGACAACGAAAGATCCAGAGCTTTGTGAGGCCGGACGCTGGCTACACCGATGGGCTCAATCCAGCTGACGGTAGTTGGGCTGCTACCGAAGGGGACGGTCATGTCAATGTTGCTTGGCCAGATAAGGAAGGATGGTCGGGTGCCATCCATTCCTTGATAAATCGTTCCTTGATGAATCATAATGAAGCAAGAATATTTCTTTAAATGGCATATTGTCTTTACACTTTTCCCCTAATCTGTAGTGAGCATAGACAAGTAATTGTATTTTGGTAGCAAGATTACACTTGAATAGGGCACACATGGAACCCAATTCAGACTTCAGTTCCTTGCTCACTCTGTTCTATTGGTTTGTTTGTTACCCTTTATTGTCTTCATAGTCATACTCCTTTATTGTGTAAAATACCTAGAAATTTTTGTTCGGCTGATCTTATATATTCCAGTGATACACAAGATTATTTTTTTCAGGCGATTGGTACACTTTAACACATGTATGTATCTGAGTTTTCTAAAACATCAACATTTTTGCATCTATCTGTACTCCCTTTCAACCACAATCTCTCCCGAACACAAGTTCCCACCTACCTGTGACGGTGACAGAGAAAGAGCAGCTTTCGAAGTTGCCGCTTGGGTCTGTGGCGGTGTACACCACGTTAGTGTATCCCACGACAACGAAAGATCCAGAGCTCTGTGAGGCCGCAACGCTGGCTACACCGATGGGCTCAATCCAGCTGACGGTAGTTGGGCTGCTACCGAAGTGGACGGTCATGTTGATGTTGCTTGGCCAGTTAAGGAAGGATGGTCGGGTGCCATCCGTTCCTGGATAAATCATAATAAAGCAAGAATATCTCTTTAAATGGCTATTGCCTTTATACACTTTTCTCCCGATCTGTACTGAGCATAGGTCTAAGACCGATAACAAAAATTTCTTTGGTACCCACAAAATAAAATAGTTCTAGTCAGTACCCTCGTTATTTGTCCCCTTGCTACTTCTACCAATAACACAGCTTGGCTCTGTCTTTCTAACGATCCATACCTAGCTGTGTAGGTGACCTCAGTAGATCCAACAGCGATGGAACTGCCTTGTAGTTGATTGACCGTCAGGGAAACAGAGTCAGAGTTGTCTGATGCCACAGGAGCCAGCCATAAAACCACCGGGATCGAGGTACCAGGGCTGGCATTGGCGACGATGTCGGTTAAACAGCTGGTCAGGATGGGGTTCTCTCTGTCGATGACCACTGTGACAAAGAAATTTGATGAAAATGATGTCAGAGATAGGGAATATGTACATGTAGCCTCCATTTTTAAAATATATAAGTTGCTTCCTCTATCCAGAGATACAGTGTACATTCATCTCCTCAGATTTGGTACAAATTTGAATCATTTCACTACCTACATTTTTACAACTCTAATCTGCTCACGAAACACAGACAAATGCCAAACATAGCAACATGTTTATATGCAGGAAAAATTTGAACCAAACAATTGCTGTAATAGAGTAAAGTGTTAACATCATGTTCACTTGTCGTCAGGGTTACTGGTTTTAAACAGAGCCCGTCAATGAGGTTCAAGGCACAATCATTCACACAACAAGCTAGAGCAGGGCAAACACTATAAACATGACTGACAAAGAAAGCGGACAAAAATATACAGTTCCTCAGGTTGACAAAGGAACATCCCTTCACTGCTATTATGTAAAAAGTGAATATGCATGTGACACCTGTTCTACACATTTTTACATAATAGCAGTGAAGGGATGTTCCCTTGTCTACCTGAGGAACTGTATATTTTGTCCGCTTTATTTGTCAGTCATGTTCATAATGAAAGTCAGTGTTTGGCACCGGTGTGATCACCACATCATGGTTTAGCACAAATTGTTTGGAACCAGCAACCTTGACAACTTGGCTAGTATGATGTCACACCTTGGTACTCTATACATAAATGGGTCAGTTAAAGCAAGTATTTTTTTCAAAGCAAGATTTCACAATAATGTCTTACACTCCCAAAACAAATAAAAAACAAACAAAAATTATTAAAAGAAAATCACTGACCTCCACTTGAAGTGACAGTGACTTTAAAGCTGCATGTCGAGTAGAAACTAGCATTATCAATAAGGTAATAGATGACCAGATAAGTGCTAACATCAAAGGAATCACCAGGCGAGAAGTTACTGACTGCTGTGATGGGTTCTGAGGCGTCCGTAGCTGTAGGGACGTCTCAGGAGGCTGTGGCACTGCTGGCACAGGACGCAGCCTGGACGAAGACGTTACAGGGACAAAACGTGATCTCTGGGGCGGTAGTGTCGCTGCCGTTTGTGGTGGAGGTCGAATTCAGTTTAACTTTTATTTATTAATGTAATGAAGATTAGGTCTGAGAAAGCTTCAATCAGAGAAAGTGAAAATGCTCCAAAGATGATTACCCGTAGTCCGTGGTCAAATTGTCTACATCAACCAAATCCTGAATTCAGCTCAGGACCAAACACTATATCTAATGCTCACTTAGTTAAAAGAACTAACCTTGAACCCGATACCAACCCTAATCTTAATCTTCAACAAAATAAAGTCTGGAGTAGTTTAGATTAACAGCTAAGGATCACCTTGTGATATGATTGAAAAATCTAAAATGTCAAATGTGAAAAGCTTTATTTTAATTGCTTCATGGTAACTATAATAAATAGGAATCACTTGTGTTTCAACCAACGGTAGACCTTTGCTGTATACATGGTCAATCAAAGTATCACCTTCAGTGGTTGATTGTTTTACATGTTGTGTATAGCCATGATTATACATCAAGTCTTGTATTTTAGATGACCGTTTTAATAAGTTATCATTGAAGTCGCCCATTACAATACATTTTGTACCCACTTTATGTAGCTCTTCTAATAAGTTATTCAAACACTCACAGAAGTCTTTTATTCTGTATGTCGGAGGGCGATAAACAACTGCAATGACAACAGAAACAGGACAGGTTATAAGAAAAGCAATAAACTCTAGATTATCAATCTTTATATCAAGTCTGCTTGAAAATTCATTCTTGCTATAAACTGCAACACCTCCATGTGACTGGTCCTTGAACTGTTGCCTTGAGTCACTTGTGATAGAATAAGAGTTATATCTTGATTGATGATACAATTTGAAATGAGCTAAGAATATTTCAAAAGCATCATCCTTATCCGATAGCCATGTTTCAGTCAAACAAATAATATCAGAATTCAGGAATGTTGGATTGCATTGTAAGTCTACATAATGTTGTTTTAATCCTTGAATATTGTGCAACATTATGCATAAACCATCATCATATGTTTCCTCTGCTATAGAAGTTTCCAAGAAATTGGTCATATCATTAAGGTGTTTTTTAATCTTTGGATCACAGTATATAACTTTTGGATGAAAATCTTCAATGGTAAGTCCAGATAAAGAAGTTACACGACTCAGGCCTACATAGCTATGTCCAGATGCAAATATTTTTTTCAGTGATACTACTACTTTATTTAAAGTCATGCCTTGTACTTTGTGAACCGTGCAAGCATAAGCCAGTTTGAGGGGAAATTGCTTTCTTGTGTAATTTTTACCCATTGATTCTTCATACATTTTGATCGATTGAATGCCAATTTTCTGGCTATCAAATTTTACACTGATGCAGTATGGCTTGGATTCGTTGTTTCGTTTTACTATTTCTGCAACTGTACCTATACATCCATTTGTCAAACCTATATTGGTATCAATATTTTTTAAAAGCATCACCCTGGCATTCAAAGCAATTGACAGATTGCGAGGCAAAGAACTTTGACTAGATTTACATGGTTCGGTACATATTTCGTCATTATCCTTGCTGTTATTTCTGTCTTCAGCTTTAACACATATAATATCTTCACATTTGCTGTGCAACATTCTGCTATTCCATTCATTTACTTGTTTATTAGTTGAATAGATGTGCATATCTTCTTCACATTCTTCACCAGTTTCACGAGAGGTAAGGATGGATAAATCTGCATCTGATAAAGTGTCTTTCTTTTCCTTAACTCTCAATCTATTCAAGAGTAGAGCAAATGCCAAATCTTCCTTTTGTCTCATTATTTCAACCAGTTCTACCTTTTTGAAATTTTCAGACCACAGCGATTGTTCTACCGATTCCTTATACAAGGGTGTTCCTTTCACAGGTGGTAATTGATAAAAATCTCCAACTGCCAATACCGAAACGTTACCGAATGGACAATCAGTGCGTGATTGCTTAATTTGTCTTAATCGACCGTGTATGTAGTACAACAATTTGGAATCTACCATGGAAATTTCATCTATGATCAGAATTTGCAACTGTCCAAGCTTATTACGAAGGGTGTTAATTCTTTCTTCACCAAGTGGTCGATAAGGAAATTTGGCGTTGATTGGAACTGAGAGCGCACTGTGAATTGTAGATCCTTCTATATTGAATGCAGCTATGCCAGTTGGTGCAACTTTCAAGATTGAAATGTCATCAGGATTAACCATCATTTTACCAAGTATGCGTACAGCTTCGTGGTATATACATTTTATTAAATAAGATTTTCCTGTTCCTGCACCACCACTAATAAGTACATGAAAAGGTTGACTTTCTGTACCATTCACTTTCTCTAAGCACCATTGTCTAATTTTGTAAAAGATTTCTTTTTGCTCATTGTTCAAACATCGAATCAAACTATTTGATTCATGTTTTGAAATTCCATGCCTTCGAAATTCCACACTAGAAGTTTCATTCTTTTTTTCATGTTTGAAATCTGGAATGTCCAATTCACATTCTGGTTCATCCATTTCAACTTTGTTCTTAGGATTTTCTAGTCTTTCTTTTTCACTTTCAGGACATAAAAGAGCCCACGCATCTTCTGGAGAACCAAATTTGTCCATGAAAAGTTCAGCTTGTTCAATGGCTCTTGAATTTCTTTCGTACTCTTTACAATGTTTGTCTACTATTGATTTTACACTTTCCAAATTGCCTCCCTGTAGTTTGACATTACCTGTTTTATAAAATTCCTGATATGTCTCAAACTGTGGTGGTTTTAACTGCTCATCATTACTAAATGGCAGGAAAAGTTGCAATATACTGAGGTAATATTTTTCTGGAGAAAGTATTTTAGAAAATCGTGGATATCTTACGACAGCAGCACTAGACCTTGTTCGTTTCTGAATGTATCCCGAATTATTTTTCAATTCAAATAAATATGGTGATGTTTTAGTGCCTTTCACTTGCGATGCAGTTAGTATTCTGTAGCATGCGCAGAATTTTGCAAGACACATAGTGTCAAATTCACTTCCATTAGGTCTAGCTTTATATCGATCAAGTTTATTTGCCATCCATGGACTCCTATCATCATCATCATCATCGTCAGGTCTACTTTGAATAACATGTAAAGGTAAACTCATTCTAACAGGATTTGGACCAACCGGAATAAATTCGACTTTTCGTGAACACTCTTTTAATCGAAGGGAACATACACGATACACACTCTCCTGTGCAGATACTTCTCGATTTTGCATGTAGACATTTCCGAGCTGTCTGATACTTTTTCTTGCATCATGATTTCCCTCATTTATTTCAGATTGAGCATGGCTTAAGAGCATTCCCATTTCTCTCTCTGATTTTGAAATGTATGATACAATATATCTAACACATGCATAAACATCCATAACAAATTGTAAGTCCATATTTGCATTCCATGCTCTCAGTAGAAAAGGATTGTACTGATTTATCCATACATCTTTGGGGTCTCTTTTCTTGATCAAAATTTCTTGTTTAGCTAATAACCTAGTTGCAGTTTCAAATTCAGTCTGTGTTGTGTTACAATCTTTAAAAAGGTCTGAGACATTAGTGTAATTATTTTCCTGATTTACAGCGTTTTTGATAGATTCTAATAATTGTTTTGCACTATCAATTTCATCAGGATTACCCTCTTTGGGATAAAGTACACATGTTCTATCAGATGGTGGTCTTGGAAAATTGAACCGACATGTTTTTCCCTTCTTTTTACAAGATTTTGAATGCTTTTTGCTATGCTGCTGCACATGAGTGATTATTTCATGGAGTTCTGGATCTTCTTGTTCGGATGGTATCTTGCAAGAAATGTATTTATCAATAAAGGAAACTACTTCCTCATCTGAACTATATCCATGCTCTGGTGCATCCTTTACCCAGAATAAACAATGTGTGTGTGGAGATCCTCGCTGTTGGAATTCAACACGATAAAAATAATCTATTACATGACCAATGGGATGTGCTTCAGACAAAATAACATTTTTCAAAAAAGTGTGAAATCTTTTGTCAAACATTCTTGCAACAGTCACTGGATTTGACTTTAAAAGTTCACATTTATCTGTCCAATCTAGGTCATTGATTTTTCGTTTATCACCTCTTTCCATTAATAAAGTATTTAATACTTCAGGCCATCTCATGTCTGCTGCCGAGAAACTTCCAAACCATGTAGGTATACCAAGCTGTCTCACCATGGCTAATAAATCTTTTTGTGTGGCAGACCAATATGGAGGAGAACCTCTTATCTGTTTCAGAAAGCGAAACCCTCTATCTGATTTTAATATGTCCTGAACTTTGTCAATTTGTTTTAAATCTTTGATAGTGATTGGTGCATCAGTATCACTTTTACTTGATGTTTTTCTCAATGCAATTGAAACACCGGACAAAACTTGTTGAATTTCATAAATGCACTGAGCATAAAAAATAAAATCTGTACTTTTAGCAAAGCGATTATCTACGTGCATTAGCCTATTTTGAAGATATCTTCCAAGGGTCACCTGTACACTTCTGAAATCATGATAAGTTGGTTGACCTTTTGGAAATAATACAGGAAAAGATTTAGGTTCATTGCTTTCATCTCTAAGAAGTGCTATGGGATTGTTGCCTTCACATGGAGCACAACAGAAAATATCATCAAAATGTTGATCAAGGATTTCTTGTCCAATATCAACTGGTTGCAAGCAGGTATCAAGTTGAATTCCATTTAACCTTGCTTCTTGGTCATCATTTTCCTGTTCTTCAAAGTTTTGAATTGAATCGTCATTGTCGTTTGTTTCTGCACTACACATTTCTCCTGACAACGAATTATTCCAGTTTTCATTGATACTTATATCAGAATACCACTTATTGTTTTTTTTCAAATAGTGCAACCCATTTAGCACCTTATTTTTGTTAACAAATTTATACTCATGATGGCCCTTATAAGATATTTTCCTTTTCAATTTCACACGGATCAATTGATCTTCTCTTTCTGGTGGAGGTAGCATATTTACAGTTTTCATTGTATTCGAAGGCACACAAACAACTGGTCCATGAACTGCATTTTGACCTCCCTTAGGTAAACGGATTAATTTGAAAAAACTTATGTTACGTGCAATTAAATGTTGTTCTAAATTATTCAAGTCCTTCAATTCTTCTGGAATCTCATGCAATTGCAAACTGTTAACACTAGCCTCAGCTGGTAATTTATTCCCAACAATTTTCTGTGGCATGTAAAGCATATCCATAAATGTCCACGAGATGAGTGCGCCAATTGACAGTTTTCATTACAGTGTGAATTGCAAATATGTAAATAGGACTCATTCATACACGTTTTGTTTTGGTAATTTGGCTTAATGCATTTTAAGACTTGACTTTGAAAAAGCAATTTTAGACATACACAACAGACATATTCTGGTCCATGAGAAATAACATTTCTGAAATTTCCTAGTACATTTTCTAATTTTTTGAAACTCATTTTCTTAAGTCCAGCACGTTCTTTATTTTTTTTTGCGAGTCTTTGCCTATAATGCTGGTTAGAGTGATATTTTTTTTTGGTTTTCTTCTTGTGTTCATCTCTAAACAACATATTAGACTCATACTTATGCTTTATTTTTTGCTTGTGTTCATCTCTAAAGGATTTATTAGACTGATAGTCATGTTTTATTTTTTGTTTCATTTTTCTCTTGTGTTCATCTCTAAATGATGTATTAGACTCATATTTTAATTTTATTTTCTTCTTGTGTTCATCTCTAAAAGATTCATTAGACTCATATCTCAATTTTATTTTCTTCTTGTGTTCATCTCTGAAAGATTTGTCAGACTGATACTTCTCTTTAATCTTTTTCTTCTTTTCATCTCTAAAGGATTTATTAGACTGATAGTCATGTTTTATTTTTTGTTTCATTTTTTTCTTGTGTTCATCTCTAAAGGATTTATTAGACTGATAGTCATGTTTTATTTTTTGTTTCATTTTTTTCTTGTGTTCATCTCTAAAGGATTTATTAGACTGATAGTCATGTTTTATTTTTTGTTTCATTTTTTTCTTGTGTTCATCTCTAAAGGATTTATTAGACTGATAGTCATGTTTTATTTTTTGTTTCATTTTTTGCTTGTGTTCATCTCTAAAGGATTTATTAGACTGATAGTCATGTTTTATTTTTTGTTTCATTTTTTTCTTATGTTCATCTCTAAAGGATTCATTAGACTCATATTTCAATTTTATTTTCTTCTTGCGTTCATCTCTAAACAATATATTAGACTCATACTTATGCTTTATTTTTTGCTTGTGTTCATCTCTGAAAGATTCGTCAGACTGATACTTCTCTTTAATCTTTTTCTTCTTTTCATCTCTGAAACTTTTGTTACAGTGATACTTATGTTTCATTTTTGTCTTCTTTACATCACTGAAATCTCCTTTGAATTTGCAACCATCCATGTCACTTGCATAATTCTCATTGTTTTGTACATCTTCGTATGCATCATGATCATTAATTTGTTTTCGTTTTGCTTTCATCCTTTCTTTAGCTAATTGTTGTCGTTTTTTTAAGGACTGCTTACATTTGCTTTTCTTGTTTTCTTTTTTAATTTGTTTTATAGGAAATTCAATTGTAGACCCTTTTACTGGAATATTTGTACCTTGAAAGTTAGCACTAGATTGTGTTTTCTTTATACCTTTCAATAGATCAAATGAAAGATTCTTTATTTCAGATTCAGATAAACGTACAAGTCTAATTGACACTTTTTTCAATACAATTTTTTCATTCCGTATCTTTAAAGGGTCATTTCCAATAAACACGTTTCCTTTATTTAAAACATCAGCAACACCTCTATTCATAGTATTACAATTGTCTGATGGATAACTAGTAATTTTAGAAGCTGATTTTTTATCCCTCTCATCGTTTTCCAGTTTTGGTTCTTTTGTTTTGCAATATCTATGCATTTTTGGAAAAGACATCTTTTTCGACTTAGCACACTTTACACTTTCATGAATTGTGTCACCTTTTCTCTTTCTTTTGGACATAAACATGTCTTCACTTTTTCCGCTTAGACTTGGCATAAACGTTTCTTCAATTTCATCTTTTGTTGCACAAGATGCATATTGTTTGGATAGTTTACTTTTGTCTTTAAGCATTTCACTATTAATAGATCTCTTTTTATTACATGTAACTTCCTTTGTTTTTTTTCCTTCGTCAGTAACCAAATCAATACAATTAACAGATTCAACATAATCAAAATGTACCCCTTTAACATGTAATAGATAAATGCCCATATTTGAATCATGTACAATGCGTCCAGGGTTATTCCATGAATATAGTCTCCACTTTAAATAAATATCACTAAATATTAATATGTCTGTTTCAAGCAGATGGGCCATGACAGCAATTTCTACCTCTGTGGCCCATTCACCATTGATGTCTGGCTTATTTTTACTAACATAGTCTTTAACTGATACAAATTCATATCTTAAACAACCAGCAAATAAGTGCGAGTTTTCCAGCAAATGTTGGATACACTTTTGCCTCAGAAATTTGTGATTGCCTTCCTTCCCTGTCAGAAAAAGAGAGATTGCCCGGTAAAAACAATTTCCATCGCCGGTAATATTTGAAATAATAGCAGGAGTACCAATATTAATGCACGTGTCGATATCTGATTTCGAACTGATACATGTATCTGTAATATTAAATCTAGCACACATTTTTTTCTTTTCACTTGAATGGACTGGAAAATATTTGTAGTTATTTGTAATGTATTCTGTATCAATTACCATGCAGTCATCATCATCAACATCATCTATATTGATAGAATCAGGCCTATCTGAGGGAGCACCACTAAACAAATCTTTGCAATAATTTGTATCATGCTCTGCATCAATTATTATGCAGTCATCCTCATCATCATCTATTTCAATACAATCAGACATATCTGTCGAAAAACTGCTTGCGAAATATCTGCAATCATTCCGATCATTTTCAGTATCAATAATATTGCAGTCATCTTCATTGATTTCAATAGAATCAGGCACATTTGTGGGAACACATCTATTACTTTTGTCAGTTTTATCTGTTGGCAAGAAAAATCCATCATTACCTTCAACTACATTTATACAGTCCTGTTCATCTTTTGCAACATGACCATTATCACCATGTTCTGTCACAGTAATCTCGCTTGAATTGATAAGATTCACAATTATACCTGTAAGTTCAAATTCAGTCTGGTTTCTATTGATACCCATAGATTCAGCTAATTTCAAAATATGATCGTACACACCTTCCCAGTTTGATGAACATAGAATGACACTGGTCCCACCATCTGTCATAAGTCCATGCCTATCTCTTGAATGTGAATCAAAAATAAAATATTGTTCTTGTGTGGATATGATTGCAAATGTTTGGCCACCAAATGTACAAAAGCATGCATCATGTCTATCTAATTCCTGATGGAGAGCATCTTTTAATGTTACTGCATTAAAATGACTTAAAAAAGATTCATCTCCACAAATTATACCCACAACACTCTGAGAACATTGCATCTTAAAATGGACATCAAAAGCTTCTAATTGATCAGGTAACTCAGATATCAATAAGAAATCTTCATTTATTGCAGAACTAAGCTGAATAAATCTATACAACTCATTACCATAATTCAATACCTTGTCAAGATCTTGTTTTTGCCATTGGGAAACATCTGTAATTTTACTGTATAAAATAGCAGCAAAACTGTTAGAAACACATTGCTTTCCAGAATAAAATCCAAATCTAGCATTTCCTTGATGAAAATTGCCCAGGGCAACACATTGCACAAGTGTATTTTGTTCCATATTTGACATGTTCTCATTTGGTATTTGCTTCTCTTCTAAATTTACATTAGAGGTGTTGACTGACTGTTTATGAAATTTACTATCATGTTTCATTTCAAACATTTTCATAGGAATAGACTTGTCCACATGTTGCTTACAATCTTTATCCACCTTTACTTCACCCGCGTTTTCAGTCTTTCCGTCACATACTTTTCCTTTATCATTTGGTTTTGCACCACCACATACTCGAAATGTGCTCTGTTCTTTGCCCTTATATTGTTTTAAAAAAACATGACTGCATGTCGCACTGCCAACAATAGAATGTTCCTGTATTATTTCATTTTGTACATGGCCTACTACATCAGCCCAAGATTGTTTTTGCTTCATGTTATTTTCTTTGTAGAGTTTCGTTTCATGGGACATCATAGATTTTGGTGATTGCACACACTTTGAGTATTCATTTAGCAATTTTTCTGCGTACATTTGAACATTATTTTCCAATACATTCTGACATTCTACATCTCTGTTTAGTTTGATGTCTACTTTGCGTTTTGATTTTTTACTTTTTCGTCTTTCGTAGAAAGATTTCATTGCTTTGCCAATGTACGTTACTCCAGGTTCTAAAACAACACCATTTATGATTCTCTTTTTCTGACCTGTTCCACTGTCACTTTTTGCTGTTGAATGTGATATTCTGTCTTGCATCTTTTCCAACATCTTTGCCTTTTTTGATTTCACTTTCATCCATTCATTACTGCCTACTTCTTCACTATGCACTTGATCACGTTGTTTGGGGGAATCTCTTTGAGTGACTAGATGATCATGTTCATGCGTGTCAAACTCACTTGATTTCATTACTTTTACACTTTGATTTCCTGGCTCTATAATGATTTTCTTGCATTTCTTAAAATACCTTTTCTTTGATCTGCATTTCTTTTGTTTGTCATTTTGCTTGGGTAAGAGGAGCACATCATCATTGAATACTTCATCCACTGTCTCGAGAGGCTGGTATCTATTGATATGAGAGGGGATACATACTTTATCAAATAGTCGATGTGCAATGTTGTTATTTCCACAATATGAACATATCCAGATTAATCTTTGCTCATTTACTAGATCTTGACACAAAAAGCCCATACATGTTACATGATAATGTTCATTGCAGCTCTCACAAGTAGCTTTGTTTTCACTTTCTTCGATTGTATTTTTACAGACACAACATTCTTCATTATGCGGATCGCATGTATATAGCATATCTACAATCTCTTTCATCACTTCCTTGAATTGATCAATTTCAAGTTCCATAATTAAGAAATATAAAATTCAGTAATATGAAATAGGTTAGAAAAGTTCAGACAGCTTAGTATAAAATAGATTTAGAGATCTTGTAGGAATAACTTTTGTGATTAA